TGTGAATTTTGGGGTGTAGATAAGCTTAAGTCTGCTGCAAACTTCTGTAAATGACCACTGGCACTGTATCTTGAGTAACACTCGGTTTTCTAGGACTCACTGGCAGAAGACAGCACGCGATGAGGACATCGATCTCGAGTCCGGGGAGTATGTGCCAGTCGGTCATATTTGGAAGTTTGACCTTGAGAGAAGCAAAAAACACTTAATTTTGGAGTGAAATTTAATTTTTCAAAATTTCGAATGGAACCTGTCATGCACGATTTTCTCGCGATAACTGAAAATCAGAAAAGAGAAGTCAGAATGATCGAGTGACAATCGCGGAAAACTTGCTAGAAAAATCAGTGGGAAATTGCTAATCGCAATTTCAGTAGCGATAATAATCCAGAGTAGAGCTGTCCCATCTAGAAGAGAGACGAGCGCATCCCCACGAACTGGATTGTTGTGATTGGAGTTTTATTCTAAACTGGACTAGAGTGAACCTTCGGTGGAAAAGTGGACAGCTAGAGTGTCCCAATGGTTCACGAGAACTGACATTCTAGAGTACAAACTTGTTCTTGTCGTTAAAACTGACTAACATTAAACTCAATTTAGTTACTTTATTGATTCTTGAGTTGCACACCGACTTATTTACATCCTGATTCTTGAGCGTGCTACAATGTGAGTACTAATTTAAATTTCTAGAGTGTGTTTTACAATTGTTATGTTGAGGTAAGGCGAGTTTTAGGTTGATCCATCTGAAATGGATCAAAGTTCCACTGTCTAATAAAAAGTAACTTAACGGATTGTTCCGACCCGGTTTTTAATGGCGTTCATGTTCTTTGGGTATCTAGAGACCTAAGTATGGGGACGTTTCTAATTCTAGAGTGGGGGGATATTTTAGTAGTAGCCTTTAAGCTGTAACGAGTCGTAGTCTCATGTCACAAACGAACCGAATTGGCTCCGACTGATTTGAGGTAGAAAAACACAAGAGATAGTGTCCCTGACTCTTGAGCCAATAGTTATAGGGCCTATTTTTCTTAAGCCTCATGTGTGACTGCAGTAGACGAATGTTACAGGCGCTAGGGTTAACCCCTCTGGCAGCCGAGTTTCCGTTTGCTATCGTCTCGGAGTTCCGCTACTCAACAGCGATTCTACGTGCCTGAAATGTTCCAGGACTCTAGATACGTTTGGCGATCACGCCCTCGCTTGCGCAGCCGACGGAGATCGCATCACGCGTCATGACAGACTGCGCGATGTCGTTTTCAACAGCGCCGCTAAGGCAGCTCTCCCCCGTTTTAGAAAAAGCCAATCTCACTTCTCGCTCTCGCCCGGGAGACATTTATCTCCCCTGTTGGTACCGAGGTCGTTCAGCCGCTCTGGGCATGAGCGTCATTAGTTCTCTGCGGTCACCTACTTTGCAAAGTACTGGAACTAGTGCCGGTCACGCCCTCGAAGTATCCGACGAGCGAAAGTTTACTAAGCACCTTTCCGCGTGCGAAGAAGTTGGCATCTCGTTTGTGCCCCTCTCTGTCGAGGAGGCCCTTGGCGGGTGGTCGCCCATTGCCGCTAAAACCATTCGTCGCATTGCTTCGATGGCAGCAGCGAGCGCGCTCTGACTGTGCCGACCCCGGGCAAGCTGATTGCTATCTTATGCAACAGCTGTCAGTTGTCCTGCAAAAAGGGAACTCCACCCTCCTGTCCCGGTACTGCTCATGAGTGTTTTTTCTGTTCTATGTAAATCTGGTAACGTTTTCTGTGTATCTGGCGTCATTGTAAATTTGTTTCTGTTATTTTGTATGTATGGCATTTTATAAGCCCGCTGGTAAACGCCAAGCTCCTGAATTTAAAGTTTTTTGAGTGTTTCCTGAAGTTTTACTTGGTTGGAAGAGCCGATTACTAAGTCGTCCGCGAAAAGATAAAGTCTATGGCCGGGTCCTGTAAAAGGTGGGCTAGATCCGCTATAAAAAGGCTGAATAGTAAAGGAGACTTCTTACCCCCCTGTGCGTCTTATTTGATTGTCTGAAAAAATAGTTTTTGCTCGTAAAAAAAATTTATAGTAGGCTATTTGCTCTTTTTAATTATCTCTGTCTGTTCCAACTTTTTGCAGCTCTCTATAGTGAAGGTTACGTAATTTCCACTAGATCTTTATTTCAGATATCAGCTATGTTGAAAAGTCAAAATCACATCTGTAAGTTTTACGCTCGTTCGTGCTATAGCTATAAAAGCCCTTTTCCGACTCTTCATTATAATCGAAAACGCCTTCAAAGAATAAAGCAGGAGCAATTTGTAGAAGGGCCTCCCGCGTCATGGCCGCGATCGTTTTTCCCAAACTGGAATTCTGTTGCTGAGTTGAGAGCATTTGCATTCAGAATAGGAGAGCCAATGAATATTGGTTTTCTTCGAAATGCATTTGTAGATAGAAGTTTTAAACGCATTCCATCAGAGGAGTACAGAATAAGAAAACTGAAAGTGGCCCCAGAATCGGACAATTCAGATTTGTTCTGGAGAGGTCAGAATAGGTTAAGGGAAATTGTCTCCTCATTTTTAATGCATGAATACCCTTCTTTACCCAAGAATGCATTAGTAGCCGTTTCTAATTACCTCCTTTCAGAGAAGGTTCTGAGTAAAATTGGCCGAAAACTAGGTTTAGACGATTTAATTATTGCAGCAGATTATCCTTATAACGATTCAGTTGTTCATCGATCGTTTTGTGCCCTCGTCGAAACAATTGCTGTCAATCGAAGCTCTCATCATGCAGCTCAATTCGTTGATGATTTCGTGTGTAGCGAGTTGATCACGGAAGATATTTTTATGATCTGGAAGCCGCCAAATGCGGAGGAAGAGCTCAACAGTGTCTTACTTCATAAAAACATGGCAACTGCTGAGCCTCGTTATATGTATGGAGCATCTACTTGTAGCGTCTTGCCTGCAATCTCGATTTGTTTTTTCTCAGATAAAAATTTTCTGGGTTCTGGAACAGCAGAAAGTATTGAAGAAGCAAAAAATGAAGCGGCTATCAACTCAATGAAGTTTTTGTTGAATTCAAACTGGGAAAGTAAAAAACCTGTGTCTGCTAATTTTGATAGAGTAGAAATTAAAGACTGAACTTTCTCAATTTTGATTAAAATGATTGGAGTATAAATGCTTCTTAGTGTAACAGTGCTGATTTTAATTAACCCGATGAAACAAACGAAATTAGATTCTTCAAAATGGTTTTTGTTATCATTGCGATTAGCAAGGGTGTTGCAACCGAGTACTGGACTTTTTTTTTGCGTTAACACGTTTTTTCATAGAATTTACACGTGTTTTACTTGCTTCATTATGAATTCAATCAACCATCTTGCGGATCTATCCTAAATCTAACACATCTGCTTGAAACGGCAAAGGCTGGTTCGAATCTGACCAGTACCTGTGTTTTTTGCAAACTAGAATTATTGTGATTTTTTGGACGCTCGGACGTCTATTTATTATTGTCGGCTTGTTTCCGTAGACCGACTTTCTTTGAAGGTTTAACTGTCTTTCAAGTTGCTTTAACACCCGCGCTTGAGACGACAGAGTCAAGGAGTTTGGTTGTCCATGAAATTGAATAGTTTAACCTCTAAAAAGGTGTTTTTGCAAAAAGAAGTAGTTTTTTTTCTGTAGCATAGCCGGTTTCTCTGCAAGTAACAAGAAATTTTAATATTCCCCTTGCTACGCAATTTTTTAACGAAACCTAAAAATTAGAAAATGCTAATGGAATAAGATAGGAAATAAATGTGAAATTTGCAGTCTGAAAAACGATAAAACTTCTGATATGTGCCGAAATGGAGCACCGAGATTGAGAATCACATGTCCTAGCATCTTCGCCATGGGCTCTTGGTAAGCATCAATAACTAGCCGCCAGTTAATAAGATGCAAGTGCTGCAAAAATGCGCCCCCAATTTCATTTGTAACTTGGGCTAGAAAAAAAGTGGACTTCGTGATATGACAAGTAAGACAAATTTATAAAAATATCAAATAAGTTTACTGCTTAATTTTTTTTGCAAAGAACGGAAGAATTAGTTACAAAAAAGAAAAAAAAGAACTTATAATAGCAAAAATAAAGTTGAAAATGTATTCGAATTGAATTGGGAGACGAGTCTTTCATCAAATCTGGTGTAAAGAGTCGAAATTAATCTGAAATACCCAAAAATTTCAGAACTAGTTTTCCTCGATATTGAGAAAACTTTCTCAATTTTGTTTTTGGAGTTGGAATCCTGATTTATTGGAGTTTAACGTCATACCACTTTTGATTTTCTACGATCTTTCTTTGAGGTAAGCAAAATCGGGAAGAAAAAGACACTCCTCATGCCAAGGTTCCCTCCAACAGTCTTCTATGAGTTCTTGGAATCGAAAATGATATTTCTTGGGTATCAAACAAAAATATTTTTATACAATATTATATCTTTTTTTTGTAAGCTAAATTAGACAATATCTTGGTGTATTAGGGTCAACCTTAATTGAGCAAGAACTTACCCGCTGTTCGATTAAAATGTAGAATCCAAGTTTTGCTTAAGATGCTGCATCATTTTAATTCTGGCAAAATTCGAAGCAAAGTTTGTTCTCATCCCTCTTTGTATTATGTCAACCCAAAGAGAAATAAAATGCGTTTAAAGTTTTTAATTTTTTGTTTTATGCGGTTAATTTTTATCAGCAATGTAGGAACTCTAGCTAAATTAGACAATATCTTGGTGTATTAGGCTCAACCTTAATTGAGCAAGAACTTACCCGCTGTTCGATTAAAATGTAGAATCCAAGTTTTGCTTAAAATGCTGCATCATTTTAATTCTGGCAAAATTCGAAGCAAAGTTTGTTCTCATCCCTCTTTGTATTATGTCAACCCAAAGAGAAATAAAATGCGTTTAAAGTTTTTAATTTTTTGTTTTATGCGGTTAATTTTTATCAGCAATGTAGGAACTCTTGTTTCATACACTTAAGACAAATAAAATAACGCTCAAATCTGATTGGTTGAATTTTTGAAAAAATCGTACAATTTTTTGGCTTAGTTTCAGGAGATTTTATGGCTGCGATTGAGCGTGATGTGCAAACAACCGACGATACAACTAAGTATGACCTGGCTTGGTATCAGAGACTCCTCGTCAGCATGATCAAGTATGGCCCAATTCCTCAGCATATCGCTTTCATTATGGATGGAAACAGAAGATACGCCAGAGACCTCTCAGAGAGAGTAATCACAGGTCAGTTCAGGGGCTGATTTAAGGGGCAGATACATCCACCCTCTGGAATGCAGCTCTTGCCCACTCAAAATCTCGCTTTAAATATCCATTTTGGCTCGACCAATTCTAAATTTTTCAAAAGTGACCTCGAAATATATTCGAGAGAGCGGCGAATTTTTTGGCAAGAAAGAGTCTTTGAAAGTGCTTATCTTGAGCTCAGAAAATAAAATCCGATTTTTAAAAGAAAACCTATGCGGAAAAAGATATTTCGACAAAGTCTCAGGTTCAAAAATATGATGTATCGAGCTTCGATTTTTTTCGTTGATATTTTATCCGCATCAGGTTTTCGATTTTCTTATTTTGGATGTATTATTATTGATTATTTTCGTAAGTTGGAAATCAATAATCATAATTTGAAACATCTGTTTGTAATGTGAACCAGTTTTGTTCCGACCATTTGAAAAACCTGCAGGAACTTTGCATTTGCGCGTGTTTTAGTTTTTTCTTTTTGTTTTCCACGCAAAATCAGGGACCACAAAGAATCATCGAAATGAGTTGAGTGATATATTATATTACAAATTTTTAAGTCGTGATTCGAACTACATCAAAAATTTTGAAAACCTTTTCTCAGTGTCGAGAAACCCATTTTGAAATTTTTAATTTTTGGTCTAGTTTCAATATAATAAGTTGAGCCTGCAGGCTTACAGTAGCTTATTTATGCTTAATTTAAGCCGTGAAAGCTTAATGTTATTTGTGTAAAGTTAGTTTTTAGCGCCAAATTGTGAATCAAAAACATCAAATTTCAACGATTTTTTTTGGTTTTTCTAGTTATTTTGTGCATAAACTGTTTTACTATTACTGTATTTTACTATGACTGATAAAAATGCCTCGTCTTTTTTTTCATTCAGATCTTTTATCACACTACGCAGAAAAAACGACAAAAATTTGGAAAAAAAATTTCGAAGTGTATTTTCGGAACATTGTGTTACTTGCACAGTAACCGGCTATCCTTGTTCGATTTTCGTTGTTTTTGATTGCTCATGGCGAATGACGAACGCAGTGTCATATTAAGAACTCTAATTCGCAAATAAATATGCTCATTTAATTTCTGGTATTTTTTCAGAAATAACATTTCTACCCTTGCGATAAGCAATGGTATTGCAATCGGGTACTAGACTTTTTTCCCGTAAGTAACTTTGTTCATAGGACTCACCTCCTGGATCCTGGACTCACTCATATGCTTCCTTTTTTTTACTTGCGATGAGCAAGGGTATTGCAATGGGTTACTAGACTTTTTTCCCGTAACTAATTTGTTTACAGAACACATACTTCCTGTATTTTTGCTTTTGCGATAGCCAAGGGATTGTTATTGGCTATTAGACTTTTTTTCCCACAAACAACTTTGTTCACTTTTTCCCCATAAACAACTTTGTTCACAGGACTCGTCTGGGCTCATCTTTACCTTGTTTCATAATGTATTCAAATTTCTTAGCGTTCCCGGCCAACTTAGCCCGGAGTTAGCGAATTTGCCTGGGACGGCAAAGGTCCTGGGTTTGAATCATACCAGGACCTGTTTTTCAAATGGGAAGTATTCTATTTTAAATAAAGTTTTCGGCCAGTTATTTGTCGGCTTATCTGATGTCGGCTCAGTTGTCACATCTTGGTATCGTTTTTTTGTTCCGCGCATTTTTCTTAAATGTTGCTTTTAATGTTTGATTTACTCCTACAATTTGTAATTTTACCTACCTGGACTTCGTATTTCCTTTCTGTTTTTCGCTAAAAGAATTCCTCGGCCGAAATTATTTCGGCCTACTTTTCATCGGCTTAATGACCTAATATTGGTTCGTTTCAAGCGAAACACGATTTTAGGACTTTCCTCCGCTTTTTTCAATTTGGTTGTAAGTTTACCAATTGGTTTATTGAATTTTCCTTTTTGTTTGGGAAAATGTTTTCACATTTGCAAAAGTTTTTGTTTTTCTCATAAACTACTGATTTTTCAAAAAAAAAGGAATCAATTGAAAATTTATAGACCGCCCACACACTTGTGTGCCTGCATACTCCTCTAGAGTCTTTTAACTCGTCTACGGCCTTCGAAAAAATGTGGAAGATTATTTGACCCATATTTTGATTTTTTTTCGTTTGCTCGAAAACTACCGCTTTCAAATATGAGTTCGGCTCCATTGAAAAGAACTGTTTGAAAAGCTTCCCTGCATAAGTGACTAAGCCCAAATTTTTACACTTTATATTATGGTCCTCAGATTTGTCGAGTTTTTGGTTTTGGATCGTTTTTGTGAATCTTTTCGACTTTTCTCGAAAAAACCTCCCAAATCTGATATTGCGGGTTCAATGGAGATAATGGGCATCACCCTGGAGGAGCTATGATTCTCTGCAATGTCAAATTTATTGTTTGCGGACCGTTCCGAAGTTTTGCTGACCATCCTGAGATTTTGGGTTCAATCGAAAGTACAGGTTGAGTAAATCTTTTTAAGCGGCTACGCATTTTTTTTGCACTAAACGCTATAATTTTCGGAGTTGTCAAATTTTGTCTATGTGCTGACCGTTTTTGGACTTTTCTCGCTAATTATTATGCCAAACCTGATATCATGGGTGTAATCGAACGAACAGGTTGTTGAAAGCCTAATTTAATAATTGACTATGCCCAGTTTGTTTGAGAAAAAAGTTATGGCCTTCAAACAAGTCAAAGTTTTGAAACTTTGACAGTTTTTTGGAATTTTATTGACTTTACGCGAAAACTACTGGGCCAATTCTTGTGTTTTGTTCAATCGTGAAGGCGGCTTTGGGAAAGTTCTCTACTTAGCCTTCCATAACCTGCCTTTTTGATCCATGATTGACCTTTCAGAAACGACGGCTCCCTAATTTCTTATAAGATAAATGTTATCTCCTTGGGAAAATGATTATCTTAATTTTTTTTTACTCTTTTCACTTATTTCAGTTGAGAAACAATTAAGGTTTTAGGCAGAGTCCAATTGTTGAATTAAAGAGCCGATTACTAAGTCGTCCGCGAAAAGATAAAGTCTATGGCCGGGTCCAGTAAAAGGTGGGCTAGATCCGCTATAAAAAGGCTGAATAGTAAAGGAGACTTCTTACCCCCCTGTGCGTCTTATTTGATTGTCTGAAAAAATAGTTTTTGCTCGTAAAAAAGATTTATAGTAGGCTATTTGCTCTTTTTAATTATCTCTGTCTGTTCCAACTTTTTGCAGCTCTCTATAGTGAAGGTTACGTAATTTCCACTAGATCTTTATTTCAGATATCAGCTATGTTGAAAAGTCAAAATCACATCTGTAAGTTTTACGCTCGTTCGTGCTATAGCTATAAAAGCCCTTTTCCGACTCTTCATTATAATCGAAAACGCCTTCAAAGAATAAAGCAGGAGCAATTTGTAGAAGGGCCTCCCGCGTCATGGCCGCGATCGTTTTTCCCAAACTGGAATTCTGTTGCTGAGTTGAGAGCATTTGCATTCAGAATAGGAGAGCCAATGAATATTGGTTTTCTTCGAAATGCATTTGTAGATAGAAGTTTTAAACGCATTCCATCAGAGGAGTACAGAATAAGAAAACTGAAAGTGGCCCCAGAATCGGACAATTCAGATTTGTTCTGGAGAGGTCAGAATAGGTTAAGGGAAATTGTCTCCTCATTTTTAATGCATGAATACCCTTCTTTACCCAAGAATGCATTAGTAGCCGTTTCTAATTACCTCCTTTCAGAGAAGGTTCTGAGTAAAATTGGCCGAAAACTAGGTTTAGACGATTTAATTATTGCAGCAGATTATCCTTATAACGATTCAGTTGTTCATCGATCGTTTTGTGCTCTCGTCGAAACAATTGCTGTCAATCGAAGCTCTCATCATGCAGCTCAATTCGTTGATGATTTCGTGTGTAGCGAGTTGATCACGGAAGATATTTTTATGATCTGGAAGCCGCCAAATGCGGAGGAAGAGCTCAACAGTGTCTTACTTCATAAAAACATGGCAACTGCTGAGCCTCGTAATATGTATGGAGCATCTACTTGTAGCGTCTTGCCTGCAATCTCGATTTGTTTTTTCTCAGACAAAAATTTTCTGGGTTCTGGAACAGCAGAAAGTATTGAAGAAGCAAAAAATGAAGCGGCTATCAACTCAATGAAGTTTTTGTTGAATTCAAACTGGGAAAGTAAAAAACCTGTGTCTGCCAATTTTGATAGAGTAGAAATTAAAGACTGAAGTTTCTCAATTTTGATTAAAATGATTGGAGTATAAATGCTTCTTAGTGTAACAGTGCTGATTTTAATTAACCCGATGAAACAAACGAAATTAGATTCTTCAAAATGGTTTTTGTTATCATTGCGATTAGCAAGGGTGTTGCAACCGAGTACTGGACTTTTTTTTGCGTTAACACGTTTTTTCATAGAATTTACACGTGTTTTACTTGCTTCATTATGAATTCAATCAACCATCTTGCGGATCTATCCTAAATCTAACACATCTGCTTGAAACGGCAAAGGCTGGTTCGAATCTGACCAGTACCTGTGTTTTTTGCAAACTAGAATTATTGTGATTTTTTGGACGCTCGGACGTCTATTTATTATTGTCGGCTTGTTTCCGTAGACCGACTTTCTTTGAAGGTTTAACTGTCTTTCAAGTTGCTTTAACACCCGCGCTTGAGACGACAGAGTCAAGGAGTTTGGTTGTCCATGAAATTGAATAGTTTAACCTCTAAAAAGGTGTTTTTGCAAAAAGAAGTAGTTTTTTTCTTTAGCATAGCCGGTTTCTCTGCAAGTAACAAGAAATTTTAATATTCCCCTTGCTACGCAATTTTTTAACGAAACCTAAAAATTAGAAAATGCTAATGGAATTAGATAGGAAATAAATGTGAAATTTGCAGTCTGAAAAACGATAAAACTTCTGATATGTGCCGAAATGGAGCACCGAGATTGAGAATCACATGTCCTAGCATCTGCGCCATGGGCTCTTGGTAAGCATCAATAACTAGCCGCCAGTTAATAAGATGCAAGTGCTGCAAAAATGCGCCCCCAATTTCATTTGTAACTTGGGCTAGAAAAAAAATGGACTTCGTGATATGACAAGTTAGACAAATTTATAAAAATATCAAATAAGTTTACTGCTTAATTTTTTTTGCAAAGAACGGAAGAATTAGTTACAAAAAAGAAAAAAAAGAACTTATAATAGCAAAAATAAAGTTGAAAATGTATTCGAATTGAATTGGGAGACGAGTCTTTCATCAAATCTGGTGTAAAGAGTCGAAATTAATCTGAAATACCCAAAAATTTCAGAACTAGTTTTCCTCGATATTGAGAAAACTTTCTCAATTTTGTTTTTGGAGTTGGAATCCTGACTTATTGGAGTTTAACGTCATACCACTTTTGATTCTCTACGATCTTTCTTTGAGGTAAGCAAAATCGGGAAAAAGACACTCCTCATGCCAAGGTTCCCTCCAACAGTCTTCTATGAGTTCTTGGAATCGAAAATGATATTTCTTGGGTATCAAACAAAAATATTTTTATACAATATTATATCTTTTTTTTGTAAGCTAAATTAGACAATATCTTGGTGTATTAGGCTCAAACTTAATTGAGCAAGAACTTACCCGCTGTTCGATTGAAATGTAGAATCCAAGTTTTGCTTAAAATGCTCATCATTTTAATTCTGGCAAAATTCGAAGCAAAGTTTGTTCTCATCCCTCTTTGTATTATGTCAACCCAAAGAGAAATAAAATGCGTTTAAAGTTTTTAATTTTTTGTTTTATGCGGTTAATTTTTATCAGCAATGTAGGAACTCTTGTTTCATGCACTTCAGACAAATAAAATAACGCTCAAATCTGATTGGTTGAATTTTTTTGAAAAAATCGTACAATTTTTTGGCTTAGTTTCAGGAGATTTTATGGCTGCGATTGAGCGTGATGTGCAAACAACCGACGATACAACTAAGTATGACCTGGCTTGGTATCAGAGACTCCTCGTCAGCATGATCAAGTATGGCCCAATTCCTCAGCATATCGCTTTCATTATGGATGGAAACAGAAGATACGCCAGAGACCTCTCAGAGAGAGTAATCACAGGTCAGTTCAGGGGCTGATTTAAGGGGCAGATACATCCACCCTCTGGAATGCAGCTCTTGCCCACTCAAAATCTCGCTTTAAATATCCATTTTGGCTCGACCAATTCTAAATTTTTCAAAAGCGACCTCGAAATATATTCGAGAGAGCGGCGAATTTTTTGGCAAGAAAGAGTCTTTGAAAGTGCTTATCTTGAGCTCAGAAAATAAAATCCGATTTTTAAAAGAAAACCTATGCGGAAAAAGATATTTCGACAAAGTCTCAGGTTCAAAAATATGATGTATCGAGCTTCGATTTTTTTCGTTGATATTTTATCCGCATCAGGTTTTCGATTTTCTTATTTTGGATGTATTATTATTGATTATTTTCGTAAGTTGGAAATCAATAATCATAATTTGAAACATCTGTTTGTAATGTGAACCAGTTTTGTTCCGACCATTTGAAAAACCTGCAGGAACTTTGCATTTGCGCGTGTTTTAGTTTTTTCTTTTTGTTTTCCACGCAAAATCAGGGACCACAAAGAATCATCGAAATGAGTTGAGTGATATATTATATTACAAATTTTTAAGTCGCGATTCGAACTACATCAAAAATTTTGAAAACCTTTTCTCAGTGTCGAGAAACCCATTTTGAAATTTTCAATTTTTGGTCTAGTTTCAATATAATAAGTTGAGCCTGCAGGCTTACAGTAGCTTGTTTATGCTTAATTTAAGCCGTGAAAGCTTAATGTTATTTGTGTAAAGTTAGTTTTTAGCGCCAAATTGTGAATCAAAAACATCAAATTTCAACGATTTTTTTTGGTTTTTCTAGTTATTTTGTGCATAAACTGTTTTACTATTACTGTATTTTACTATGACTGATAAAAATGCCTCGTCTTTTTTTTCATTCAGATCTTTTATCACACTACGCAGAAAAAACGACAAAAATTTGGAAAAAAAATTTCGAAGTGTATTTTGGGAACATTGTGTTACTTGCACAATAACCGGCTATCCTTGTTCGATTTTCGTTGTTTTTGATTGCTCATGGCGAATGACGAACGCAGTGTCATATTAAGAACTCTAATTCGCAAATAAATATGCTTATTTAATTTCTGGTATTTTTTCAGAAATAACATTTCTACCCTTGCGATAAGCAATGGTATTGCAATCGGGTACTAGACTTTTTTCCCGTAAGTAACTTTGTTCATAGGACTCACCTCCTGGATCCTGGACTCACTCATATGCTTCCTTTTTTTTTACTTGCGATGAGCAAGGGTATTGCAATGGGTTACTAGACTTTTTTCCCGTAACTAATTTGTTTACACATACTTCCTGTATTTTTGCTTTTGCGATAACCAAGGGATTGTTATTGGCTATTAGACTTTTTTCCCGCAAACAACTTTGTTCACTTTTTCCCCATAAACAACTTTGTTCACAGGACTCGTCTGGGCTCATCTTTACCTTGTTTCATAATGTATTCAAATTTCTTAGCGTTCCCGGCCAACTTAGCCCGGAGTTAGCGAATTTGCCTGGGACGGCAAAGGTCCTGGGTTTGAATCATACCAGGACCTGTTTTTCAAATGGGAAGTATTCTATTTTAAATAAAGTTTTCGGCCAGTTATTTGTCGGCTTATCTGATGTCGGCTCAGTTGTCACATCTTGGTATCGTTTTTTTGTTCCGCGCATTTTTCTTAAATGTTGCTTTTAATGTTTGAGTTACTCCTACAATTTGTAATTTTACCTACCTGGACTTCGTATTTCCTTTCTGTTTTTCGCTAAAAGAATTCCTCGGCCGAAATTATTTCGGCCTACTTTTCATCGGCTTAATGACCTAATATTGGTTCGTTTCAAGCGAAACATGATTTTAGGACTTTCCTCCGCTTTTTTCAATTTGGTTTTAAGTTTACCAATTGGTTTATTGAATTTTCCTTTTTGTTTGGGAAAATGTTTTCACATTTGCAAAAGTTTTTGTTTTTCTCATAAACTACTGATTTTTCAAAAAAAAAGAAATCAATTGAAAATTTATAGACCGCCCACACACTTGTGTGCCTGCATACTCCTCTAGAGTCTTTTTAACTCGTCTACGGCCTTCGAAAAAATGTGGAAGATTATTTGACCCATATTTTGATTTTTTTTCGTTTTCTCGAAAACTACCGCTTTCAAATATGAGTTCGGTTCCAATGAAAAGAACTGTTTGAAAAGCTTCCCTGCATAAGTGACTACGCCCAAATTTTTACACTTTATATTATGGTCCTCAGATTTGTCGAGTTTTTGGTTTTGGATCGTTTTTGTGAATCTTTTCGACTTTTCTCGAAAAAACCTCCCAAATCTGATATTGCGGGCTCAATGGAGATAATGGGCATCACCCTGGAGGAGCTATGATTCTCTGCAATGTCAAATTTATTGTTTGCGGACCGTTCCGAAGTTTTGCTGACCATCCTGAGATTTTGGGTTCAATCGAAAGTACAGGTTGAGTAAATCTTTTTAAGCGGCTACGCATTTTTTTTTGCACTAAACGCTATAATTTTCGGAGTTGTCAAATTTTGTCTATGTGCTGACCGTTTTTGGACTTTTCTCGCTAATTATTATGCCAAACCTGATATCATGGGTGTAATCGAACGAACAGGTTGTTGAAAGCCTAATTTAATAATTGACTATGCCCAGTTTGTTTGAGAAAAAAGTTATGGCCTTCAAACAAGTCAAAGTTTTGAAACTTTGACAGTTTTTTGGAATTTTATTGACTTTACGCGAAAACTACTGGGCCAATTCTTGTGTTTTGTTCAATCGTGAAGGCGGCTTTGGGAAAGTTCTCTACTTAGCCTTCCATAACCTGCCTTTTTGATCCATGATTGACCTTTCAGAAACGACGGCTCCCTAATTTCTTTTAAGATAAATGTTATCTCCTTGGGAAAATGATTATCTTAATTTTTTTTTACTCTTTTCACTTATTTCAGTTGAGAAACAATTAAGGTTTTAGGCAGAGTCCAATTTTTGAATTAAAACTGCCGCATCAGTATAGCAATTTTATTCAATATGAAATACGTACCTCCAGCTGTAGCTGGGCCCCTAGATGTTTTTATCGAGACATACGAAAATTTTTCTGTGCTTGCTGGTTTTATATTTGTGTTTTATGGCAAGTGGTCAAGTCTCCGCTTTGCCTCTGTGTTATTTATAAGTTCAATCATCCATCTGGGGCAAAGATACTACACCTGCTTGAGACGACAAAGGCTTGTGGCTGCAATCCGGCCGTGACCTGTTTTTTTTTTTTAGCAAACTTAGTTTTTTTCGGACTACTGTTCGTCTGCTTATTTTGTCGGCCCACCTCCCGTGCTCCGATTTTTTTCGAAGGTTCAGATTTCTTTTTAGTTGCTTTAACACCCTTGTTGACTACGAAGCCCGGGACTTTGATTTCAGTCGGAATCTGGTTTTTTTTGCGAATTGAAATTTTTCGGCTATTTTATTTTTTGTCTGTCTGCTTATTTGTACCGGCTCACTTCCTGCTGAATAGCTTTGTACAGAAGCAGAGCTTGTAAGATAGTTTGAACCTTCTTTTTTGTAACCTAAGTCGCAAATTTTGTTGCGACTCAATTATTGTTGAGACAAAATGTGTTTATTTTGAAAGTGTTCATGTTGATCAATAACCAGCTTTTAAGTACAGCCAATGCAAAGGATTTTAACACAGATTATTATATTACAAATAGCACTTTAGCTTCAAATTATTATGGATCTGTAGCGTAGACGTAGGGAAGGAGACGCGCAACAAAATAAGAGGGTTCGAACCTGGGCAGGGTCGGATGTTTTTAATGAATTTTTTTGTATACTGGTTCAAATGCGTCCGCTCTATTAATTGAGGTATGCTAGTTGGCAATTTTTTTTTCAAATTGACTACTAATGCGTCATAATTGGCTTGCGTCACTCAGCATTTATGTAGACTCATAATTAGCATGCGTCACTGAAGAATTTTTTTAAACTCAAAGTTTTGATCTTTCAGTTTTTTCCAGCAGCGTTATCGGCCATTTTTTTTGCTTGTGTGTGCAATGTTGCCTGTGTTTGAGATTCGACTTCTTTGTAGCTTCCGAAAGCTCATGTAAAGTTTCTAATGGTGCAGATTTTTTTGCTCGGGATCTTTTTTAGCCATTCAAGTAACTTTGTATGTCAAAACTATTTTTGAAGGTTTTATTTAGTTTTTTTTTTCGTTAAATTTGATTTTATTCACAGTCTTTCATTTTGTATCGCAAGTGGTGCGAGGCTCAGCTTGGGCTCTGTTTCTGGTTTACTTTTACTGCAAAGCCTAATATTTTTATATCTAATTTAGTGGTGGCTAGTGTTTAAAGAATTACCAGAGCACCTGGTTTTGATTTTAGAACGCGTGGTTCTCAATCTCCCGATATTTTTGTTCGATTCCGGTACAGCCTATTTTTATGCTTGCGAAAGTAAATATAAACTTTTTTTCAGGTCAACGTTTTGTTTAAGAGAATCTTTTGTATCTTGGTTTATAACGAATTCAATGTGTTTCGGGCCAACTTAGCTTGGAGGTAACGAATATGTTTGGGACGGCCAGGGTCCTTAATTTAAATCTGTTTAGGACCTGTTTTTTTCAAACGGGAATATTTTGTTCCAAATAAAATCGCCAGCCAATTATTTGTCTGCTTATGTTGTCAGCTTAGTTGTCACATCTTGGAATCGTTTTTTGCTGCGCGCTTTTTTCTTTACTTTTTTAGTGTTTGGTGTTGATTTTCGTATTTGATTAAGTTCTACAATTTAAAATTTTACTTTCCTGGACTTCGTATTTCCTTTGTTGTGTTTTGTTTCGCTATAAAAATTTTCGGCCTACTTTTTATCGTTTTAATCACCTAATTTTGGGTCGTTTCAAGGGATACTCAATGTTGACACTCCACTCTGAGCTTTTTGAAGTTAGTTGTTTGTTTACCAATCATTTTGTTTGAATTTCTTTATGAAAAACAGGTATTATGAAAATGCATGGGATCCTTTTTTTTATTTTTTTTTGAAACGCTTTGGAAAATT